CACAGCATTCCTCCATGACACCATGAGAGCATAGTCCACACCATTGTTAACCCCCAGCTTCAATTCAAGCACCACTCTGAGAGTCCGAACATCGCTACAAAGGCACGAGGAGTTTTATTCATTCAAGCTCAGAGCCTGGGCTACCCTTTAAGAAAAAGCAGGAACAGCCCTTACAGATTATCCAGAAAGTCCCTTTATACCTCTCCCTCTTCCCTCCCATTAGACCATCCCACCCCATCCCCTTATTGGTAGGGAAACCATGTCTGTCCTAAACTGACAGGTACAGTCGTTTTCAGGGTTGATTGGTTCAGGGATGAGTCTTCTTTGTCTCAGGTGAGCAAATGAGAAGGAAGGGATAAAGGTCGCAAGTGGGGCAAGTGCAGAGTAGAGTGGCAAGTGCAAAAAGGGGAGGGGGTCAGGATATGGGCTGAGTGCACAAGGGGGCTAGTGGGACGAAGGGGAGGGGGTCAGGATGTGGGCTGTAACACCTAGGTATGATAAGGTCCTTGGTATGCGGCGGCCTATTGTCCTGAATAAACAACAAAAGGAGGTAGTTTGACTTGTGACTTGAGTTAATTAGTTTGGCTCCCACACCATCACTGTTCTGTCTTCAATTCCAAAGTTCCTACCATGACTCAAGTACCTGTGGGAATTTACATCATGCTTCTTACAGAAATGCTGAATGAGAACTTTTATTTAAATTAAAATCAAACAGGATTGTTAACTTCTGCCACTTCCCATCTTATTCAGAGCAGAAGCTATATTTTTAAATTCCCTTACAGTTATGCTTAAGATTCTACCCACTTGCCATCTCTTCTCCTGCTACTTATTCCTTTGCTCTCTCCACTCCAACCACATTGGGATCCTTGCTAGTTTTAAATACACCAAGCATGTTTTTTCTGTACGGACTCTAATTTACTCTTCATAGACCTAAGTACTCTTTCCCAAGATAGCCACTTGGCTCGCTCCCTCTAAAGTCTTTTCTCAAATAGCACCTTATCAGTTAGGCCTCTGTTAAGCATTTTACTTAAAATCACATCTTCTACTGTAATATTTCATTCCCTTTGGCTGCTTTAGTTTTTCTCCATAGCATTCATCTTTTAACACAGCATTAAAACTCTATTTATTTTGTTCCTTTTTCTGCCTGAACCCTTTGGAAAGGATGCTCCAGGAGACAAGAATTCTGTCTCTTTTGTTCACTCTTCCTGACACAATGGTAAGTGACTAGACCAATGTCTAGCAGCTATTCCATCAACATTTCCTGTATTCTGCATTAAGTGAGGAAATT